TGTGCTCACGCGCTTGGGACGAGGGCCCAGGCACGGCTGGGTCTCGGGAACACCCCGGGGGCTGGGGTGGGCGCTGTGTCCTGGCTCCCGCGGGACAGGCTGGCGCCAGCGCTGGGATTGGCTGCTCCCAGCCCCCACCTTCCATCCGGCCCTCAGGGAGCCGGGCCTCTGCAGACGGCAGCCGTCCAGAGGGAAGGAGGGACGGAGAGGGCATCTGCAGGCGCCTACCAGGCTCTGCCCCACCCTGGAGGTGGGCCTGCCCCCCACAGCCAGACCTCGGCGCAGGTGGGGTGCAGACCCGGCCAGGCCTCCCCGGGGCAGCAGCCAGCCCTGAGCAGGCGAGGCTCTTCCCTCCTCTGCCGCGTCCTCAGGTCACGGCTCCAGCAACTGTGTCCGGCAGCAGCCACATCCCGGGTGGGGGTGCATCTGGGGCCACGGCACCTCACATTCTCGGCACAGCCCCCAGCATGGGGGCTTTGCACCCGGATCCAGGAGGACTCAGGGCAGGGCGGGCTTAGCACCTGGGTGCCAGCTACTCCACTCTCTGCGGGAACTGGGCTGTGCTCACACCCCTCCGCCCGGGGGAGGGCTTGTTAATTAATTAAGTGGCACTTTGGCTCCCTGCGTGGCCAGCGAGTGAGAACGGCCCCAGGGCCCTGCGGATCTGGGGCAGGGCAGGGTGGGCAGGCAGCGTGGGTGGCGGGCCCGGCCTCCGGGGACTTGCCAGGTGGAGAGCGCTCTCTGCCGCCTCCGGCCTGTGGGCACCGGGCAGGCACAGGCTCCGGCCCAGAGTTGTCAGCCCTCTTGCAGTGGGCCTTTCTCACAGGGCCTCTGCTGCGGCTGCTGTTGGGCGGCCTGCTGAGCGAGGCCCTGCGCCAGCCCCGAGGTCTGCTCCTTGACCCGCCGCAACGTCTGCCTGTCCATGCCTTGTGTCCCTCGCCAGCCCACGCCCTGTCCAGCTTGTCTCCTGACGAGCCCGTGGTCCAGGCCCGTGTCGCCCCCAGGTCTGCGGCACTGCTAGCCGGGCAGGGTCTGGAGCTGAGCCGGGGTGCTGAGGGCAGGGCCCAGCTGGCCGCTCTGAGGCCACCTGCCAGATGGACCCCGTCACTCAGCTGCCAGACCAAAGACTGCACCTCGCCACCTCCCTCCAGCCGCGTCTACGTTCCCACTGATGAGGTCTGCAGGAAGCAGCGTGGGCGATTTCCAGGGCGAGCCTTGGCGCGCAGACCCAGCTCCTCCTCCAGTCCGCCGGCCAGGGGCTGCTGCGACAGCTGAGCTCAGGCAGCCTCCGCGCACCGTGAGGTACGAGACACGCCATGAGGAAAGGCTGGGTGGGGCGCAGTGAGACGTGGCTGCCGGACCGTCCTGCTCTGAGAAGGGAGCCGCCACAGCTGATGCGTAAGGCTGAGGCAACGCAAGGAGACAGGCAGAGCCAGCGCCCTGAGCACACTTTGCCTGAAGCCCACCCCATCCAAGTTCCCAGTGATGAAAAACAAAACTCACAGCCCCAGAGACCCAACTGGCTTTACTAAGCCGTCGCGAGTCCGGCAGCATCTCGTCCGCTGCGAGGATGCACACAAGATGGAGGATTTTATACCAGAAAGCGGGCAGGACAGGGCTGTTCGCAGAAGCAAAGATGAGTTCTGGGGAGTCTCCTCCCAGGAGCAGGGGCTTGTCCTGCAGACGCTCTCACTGTGCTGGTCAGGACACCCCGGGTTGATGGTGGAGGGGGACACTCGGGTGGGGCTCAGCACGAGCGACTCCATTTTGGGTCATTTCTCCTACATTTCCCGGCATGTGCTGAGCCCACCCAGCCCCCGATGGTTTCAGGCAGTGTGAGCTGGGTTTTCTATTGCAGCCACAGGAGAGAGAGTGTGGGTGTGTGCTGTGTGGGGAGGCAGGCCACAGGCTGCTTCCTGGAGGGGGCACCCTCAAGGGCGGTGCCTCCAGGCAGTGGGGGCACCTCAGCCTGATGCGGCACTTCCTCCAGCTGGACCCAGGCGACATGGGATGGCATCGGGCACCCTGCCACCAAGCCCAGGCCACTAGGCCACTCTCCATCTGGCCCAATTTAAAGCTCACAGGTAGCACCTCGCACCTCCCTGGAGCTGTGAGGAGTGCAGTGACCTCTACACAGCGCGTCAGCGTAGCCCAGATTCCCTGACCCAGAGGGACCGGCTCAGCCTGTCCTGCACATAGGATAGGCACACATGTGACTAACACATGCACACACGCACACCCCTCAGCTTCACGCACATGCGAGTGCCTGTGGGTGTGCCCGTGTGCGCAGGCCACATGTCTGCATGGGCAGGGACACGTGGGTGTGCCTGTGTGCGGCATGTGGCATGCACATGGCTAAGTGCACATACACGCACGGAGCCCTGGCATGCACACGTGTGCATGTGTGTGTGTCCAGGACATGCCAACACCTGCTCTCCCTCCAGACTCAGAGCGGCTGAGTGCCGGGGACACAGGTCCAAGCCGGCCCAGCCGCACCTGCAGGGCCCCTGCACACCCCAGGTGGGGCCTACTGTGCAGGACCTCAGGCCCGATGGGGTGCGGTCAGGGAACCCAGCCAGGCCAGACCCTCTGTCCTCAAGTTCCTCACTTGGAAAGCAGGTGCCGCACCCCCGACCCGGGCTCTTAGGCCGGTAGGAAGACCCTGGGGGCTCCCCAGGATGGGTGCGCCAGGGCTGGAGGCTGCTGCCCCGACCCGACACAGGGAGGCTGCCTCCACTCTTGCAGAGGTGTGAAGGTGGGGGCCGCTGCCCAGACAGGGGGGTCCGCATGCGGTCAGGCCCCACCTCAGCCAAGAGGCAGCCCCACCAGGGCCGAGGGCTGCTGCACAGCGCAGGTCACGGCAGACAGCACCCACCCTAAGGAGCCGCATCTTCTCCGGGCCAGGCCGGGCCAGCTGGCTGAGGCGCCCGCCCAGGGAGTCCTGGCCAAGAGCCTGCTCGTCCGTGCGCCGCCCACCAGGCGGGGGCGGGGGCCAGAGGGCTTGTCCTTGTGTCCTTTCTCCGCTGCCTTATTTTTTGGGAATTCGCCTTCCCCACCTTCTCTGGCTGGGGAGCTGCTGTTCACGCTGTCTAAATCTGGGGCCTGTGGGCGCCAGCTCCGT